CGTTCGAGAGGAAGAACGAAACCTTGGAGGGGAAGATGTAAGGGGTGGTTTTCTCTTAGAACTAACTTTTAGAATTTAAAAAATCTGTGATGCGATGCCGTTTCTCTTTTCTCTTATTCTCTCCTTTCATTCTCTCGATCCAACCGATCTTCGATCAACAACAATAATATCGCGCGTGGGAATTGATAAAAAAGTGTCCTTTTTCTTCTTCTCTCCGAGATCGAGAATTCGAGAATTGATAATTTTGACGAAGAAATAAAATTATATATTTTTAATTATATTATTTAATTTGTTATTTAATAAATAAAATTTGAAATTGATAAAGTTGATAAGAAAGGGAAGGGTTGGATCGATTCATTTTTCTTTCATTTCTCTCTCTCTTTGGTTTGTAATTAAAGAAACTAACGCTACGTAGAGTATAAATATTACACGTAATATTTCTCTTTAAAACTCGTAAATATTGCGTATAGAAATATCGTGGTTGATCGAGAAGAATCGAATTAATCCGATCGATCGATCGAACGACGAGGAAACAGGGTTTCGAAAAACTTTGTTGTTATTAGATTCGTTAGAATGCGTCCAACGAATGTTTAGTAAGCAATTATAATAATCAAATTGTGTAACTTTATGTAACAATGACAACACACGCACACATACACACATACACGTACACTTGACGATTTTTAAATACACATTTCCTTTCGAAATTGCGAAAAATCCCTCGTTTCATTCGACCCATCTCCGTCTCCAACGCCTCGAGATCTCGAGAATGTTTGAACTTCTCGGTATATGCGTGGATATCGTTTGTTCGCTATGGCAACATCGATACATCAAGATACGCTCGTAACTCGTGCTGTTTAATCGATTCACGAAGTACGAAAGTTGTAGGTTAAAGTGCGTGCAACCTCTCTCTTCGAAGATGAATTCGAAAAACTCGTTACTGTGAAGGAATATTTATTGAGAAAATTATTTATTCTAGATATATATATATATATATAAAGAGAGAATTATTGTTTTATCAATATTTGATATTAGAGAGAGAAAAATATGACCGAATCGGAAGAGGAAATTATTCATACCGAGGACGACGAGGATTTTTACGATTTGGAGAGACTTTCCATAATACATCTGGATTATCGGTATAACAACATCGGAATAAAATGAATTTTAATAAATTGAAATTAATTAATTTTCGCAGAGTGATGTGGATACGGGACAAAGTGATGAAATTTTTAGGAATACCTGGCTACGAGCTTCAGTTCTACAAACTTTTGAACGTAAATGTGGCAACAATGCGCCTATAAACGTTTCTACTATACATATATATATATATATATACACGTATAACGCCATAAAATAACACGACGCAATACTTTTCTTTCTCAACTTTTCTCCCTCCTCCTTTCTCCCTATCTCGAGGAATTCGAATAATTTTTTTACAGGCAAACAATCGATACTTGGAGGACAAGCTGCTGAATTTTTTGGTACTCGATCTTTACGGAATAACGAGTCTCGAGAGAAAGATAATCTTCTTCTATTGCACGTATTCCGTGGAAAAGTATCAGGAAGAGGTGCCGGTCTGGCAAAGTGAGTGATCCTTTCCTTTAACGTTTCACCGTTGTCACGAGTGTATTATAAAGAGATACCGTCTACTTCGATGATCGAAAATTGTGATTGCAAGCAGGCAAGCCGAGCGTTAGTAAATTGGCCGCGTTGACGGCGCTAGCCGTGAAAGGGAAGAGTCGTAAGTAGAAACTGTTGGTGATTCCGCACTTTGTTGCTTTTGCACACTTTCGTTGATTCGAAGTTTGAAGTGAACTCGTTCGAGGGAAATGTTTGAATTTTAATTATTGTATTATATTAAGTGGACAAAATTCAAATGTGTAAAAAATAATTGTTTCGATATGACATATAATGTAATACATTGAAATGTTAAATCCTGTTTTTAAACGTTTATAGATTAAACGAAATAATGCGTATATAGGCAGAGAATCGATCGATCCCATTTCAAGGTTGAGAATTATTTCGTAAATTTATTAAGAAGCATTTTTCAATTTTTATAACGTTTCGAAATATTTATTTTAATTTAATTTTTTCGTTATAAATTATCGATATTTTTTTTTTTTAAATTAAATTTAAAGCATTAGAAATTCACACGATGATATATCGATGACTTTATACATGTTCCACGTGATAAGAGTTGGACATACGAAAAGTAGAAACTTTTTACTTTATTTTACTGCCATATTTGATTCGCAAAACTTTGCAAAAGTATATTATTAGCTGTGCAAATAAGTTCTTTCCCATTTTTTTCTAAATTCAAGATTTTATTACGTGAATTAGGCACAAGATTAGCCGATTGTTTCAATCGAGTGACTCCCGATCTTTCCGCCGATTCTTTCTCTGGATCGGACTTTCGTCGAACGATTCCTCTCACTCGTCTCCTCGTCGAACTTTCTCGATGCACCCGAACGATCGTCGTCCTCCCAATTAAAATTTCCTTCAAATCTTTGCTACCACTTTCTTGCTACCACAGAGTTCTCTCCCAGTGTTCAAACCGTTTCGATAGTTTCGACGCCTGATCTCCTAACCTGGAGCGCAAAAAATAAACGAACGACGCGCTATATCGCTCGAAATTGTCGCTCAGGACTGGAAACTGTCGCGACTCTTCTCAACCCTTTCGCTACGGGCGATTTCTCCGCCATGGCAAAAATGTGCACGGTCGTGAAAGATCGTCAGCGGCTGCATTTATTTATTTTTTTTTTTTTTTGATGATTTTTATTATCGAGGAATCTCGTGAGAAACGAATGATAAAAATGAAATATGGATTTCCAGAGAAAGATACTCGATGTACAATAATTCCAATCGCTCGTCATATATATGCAGAGTTACTCACAATATATGAATGGCATTTTATACAGAGCGACTATAGCCGCCCATATCAGTGATATTTTATCTAAAGCGACTTTAATCGCCTATAGTATATCAGTGGCATCCTTTGCAGAGCTATAGTCGCAGATTATAGTCGCCCATAATATTATAGTCGTCCATAGTGCATCAATTGCATTCTATGTAGAGTGACTATAGTCGCCCATAGTATTATACGTCAATGGCATCTTATGCAAAGTGACTCTAGACTATAATTGCCTATAGTATTATTTGTCAGTGGCATTTTATGCAGAACAATTATAGTGATCCATAATGTATCAGTGATATTTTATCTAGAGCGACTTTAATCGCCCTAATTAATATTAATATTATATTATTTTATTATAATTAATTTTATACGTCAATTAATATTATATGTCAATCTTATATAGAACGACTATAGTCTCTTTTAGCATATTAGTGGCATCTTATGCAATTGTAGAGCAATTGTAGTCGCATAGTGTCTACTAAATCAATTGCATTTTATGCAGAACGACTTTAGTCGCCCATAAATACGTCAATGGCATCTTATGCAAAGCGACTCTAGACTATAATTGCCTATAGTATTATATGTCAGTGGCATTTTATGCAGAACAACTATAGTGATCCATAATGTGATATTTTATCTAGAGCGACTTTAATCGCCCTAATTAATATTAATATTATATTATTTTATT